TTTGGTCAACATTAGCAGTATGCAACAACCAGAACAGTAAAGACAGATCATATAACACGATACAATAACTTATTGGTCAAGCTCACAACACTATAGCTTTTCAACAGACTCTTTTTAAAACCACTGTCCAGATGAATGAAATGACAGACGTAGAGATGACTTCACTACTGCTCTTGATCAGTACATTATGCACAGCTTGACAGGGAAGCTGTGGACATCGACAACAGAAACACCAGAAACAACATCACTTGCATGATACAATTTCATGATTCAACTCTCACTTGGACAAGACATGGAAGAATTCAGTTCATACTAATGAGGTGTGTTTTCTTTTAAGGTCTAAACTGAGCTGTATCACAAACCAGTGCCAAACAGTAAAGAATACTGCATTACAACAAAAGAGTGAGACTTTTCAAAACCTCAGTTCTCCGTGGTGAAGCTAAATTACTGATGGCTGTATGTTTTGGTTGTTCTTTATGTTTTGAGGAAACGGATAAATTCATGGAACGCTTTATACATTTTAGTCTTGCAGAAAAAGGGTGGCTCCATTTGCCACAACAATATAACTTGTCATTGTAGCTCTCTTTCCCCAAAATATGATAACAGAATGGACTACAGTATGGAATTTAAAAGTGCTAATTGGTGAGAATTTTTTAGCTTCCTCAAAAGAAAAAAAAACAACCACAAAAACAATTAAAAAGAAGGGGATCAGTCATGTTGGCCTATAAGCTCAAAGCCCTACTCCTGCTCCACCATGGCACCTGCACTAATAGTGAGGTTCCTGTGGAGGTTTGGGTTTTGGCTGTGCCTGTTTCTGCTTCTCACAGAGGAGAAGGACGTATCACAGCCAGGAACTTTACACTTGTGAAGCAGTCGCAGATGGACAGTCTTGTAATGGGCTCTGAACGTGCCCTTGTTGCTGTAGACCTTTTGGCAGACATGGCAGGTTATTGGAGATCCACCCCCACCTCCCTGAAGCCCGCTTTGTCCTCCCCCAATGCAGCCCAGGGTCCTCTCTCCCCCATGTGCCAACTCCTCACCCCCAGGTCTCCCCACGCCAATCCCATCGCAGCTTTCATCACTGTCCTCCATGGGGAGTGCCTCATCATCCTCTTCGTTCCTTTCCCCTTCCTCGCTACCGGCTCCATCTGAGTCCCAGGAAGACTGAGCACTGCTGCTGCCACGAGGCGGGGCAGAGGAGGAGGTGCTCAGGTCCAGAACTGCTCCATCCTCCCCACTTCCAGCACCTTCTCCTCCTCCTAATCCCTCCATCTCTCCTAAGGGAGATGTCCCGGCACTGTCTGGTATTGTAGACATCTTGCTCATAGGGAAGACCAGGCCCATGCGGTTGTGTCCTCTGAAGATGACAGAGGCCTGGCTGCTTGGGTCTCTATGGTCGTGGCAGTAGTCCAGGCCAAGAGACTCTCTGTTTCTAGCACGGAATGAGGGTGGGTATAGGGTGTGGGCTGGGCTGAATGAGTCTTTGGTCAGCAGCTTGTGGTGCAGGTTCATATTTGCACTGTGTCTATAAACAAAAATAAAACATGCATTAAAATTCAATTCATTGCATTATACGCCATATCCAAAATACCTTAAAATACCACAAGACCATACACATTTATTGACATTTTTATTGCCTTTGTCTACTCTAAAATGTCACAGCAAGACAAGAAATGAATGAATCTAATCTTTTAGACACGCAAAGCAAGTGTAGAGCAAGGAATACACTAACAAGTCAGAAAGGTCTAATCAGCTCACTCAATATGAAACCATTGTATATGTGTGTATCTGTATGTGCTATAATGGGCCAGATGGTCTCCTAAACTGATGCAAACAGTGGCTGTGCTCATAGTTCTGTTACAGTATTAGAATGAAAGTCTGCATATGGAATTGTAAATATCCATGCAGACATCTGTGCAGACCCTGTGAGGGCATGGACAAAATTTACATCACACAGATTTTTGCAGCTACAGGAATATGGAAAGTATCATTTGAGCTTGAAAGCCAAGAATCTTTTCCATTCTAACCAAACTAGGGCTGCTGGTTTCAGTTACTCCTCCCTGCAGCATATTCACATGTTTCAGTGACACAGGGCTGATAATGGTTTGATCTATATTACTGATATCCAGGGTGTCTGCTAAGCAGAACCACAAGGAAGCTGCTGAATGAGCAAAACAGTAAGGCCTTAGAGTCGGGATATGAACTCTTGTCTCATCAAAAATAGTAAAATGTACATGCTTACATCTGTCAGTAATCCTGCAAATTTCAGCTGTACCATGAAGAAGACAGGGATGCCTCTCACCTGTCTCGGCTCCTGCGTGAAGGGAAGGCCGCGTTGCAGCCGTCCACTGTGCACATGTGCATCTCCTTCAGGTGGACACTTTGGTAGTGCATCTTAACGCTGTAGGAGTTCTTAAAGGTCTTACTGCAGATTTCACAGTGGTGTGGCAAGTCAGCATTGGGGCCGAGGTGAGACAGTCCTGAGTCACCATAATCATCTACACAGGCATCAGATCCCTCCCTGTCACAGTCTATGAGATGGAGAGTGCCCCCATTAGTCAGCTTGTGCTCCCCCTCATCCCATTTAAGCTCAGAAATCATGTTAGCTGCATGAAGCGAGTTTGTCCTGTCCACCCTTTCTTCTTTGCCACTGGGTTCCTGACAGAGTAAGTTGTTGTCACAGTGGTTTTCCATCAGTCTGTTTTCAAAGGGGGGGGATGCACACATGATTACCCCTTTTTCTGCTTGCCTTGGCTGGTCATTGTTGTCCTCCCTCTCTGTCACTTCTCTTTTTAAAGTTTGATCCAACAAATGTTTGACACTGTCCCTTTCTTTCTCTGTACCAGTCTCTCTTGCCTCCTTCTGCTCCCCAGCTTGTTTAGCACACATATGCTCTTCTGCTCGACTACCGTCGCATTCTTCCTTTTCCCTGCCCTGTAAAGGAGCCTCATCCTCAGAACTGCTCTTGTTACACATCTGGTCATTTTGCTCTACTGCCTCCTTCTCTATCTTTATTGGCATGCTTGACTTTCGTGACTTTTTCTTTGGTATAGGGTCTGTCAGGTAGGGTTCAGGAGCTGTGGTGGGTTTAACGGGTACAGAGGAGGACAACAGAGGAAGGGAGGGCAGTGTTCCTGGGGTATTGGCAAGCTCTGCTGGAGTTACTAGGCTGCGGTAGAAAGGCAGAACTGGCTGTACTGTTTTTAAGTTGGGAAAGAGGATGCCACTCTGGCCCATGCTGGGAAACGAGCTGCTGTGGAGCTTAGGCCCACTGTCCACATGGCTGACCATGTAGCTGGGCACTGACTTATGGCTTTCTGCAGAACAAACAGGCATGGCAGTGCCATATTCAGGCCTCTTCTCTCCCTGAGAGCTCTCATCAGCAGAGATGCTGCCCCGCAGGTCTTTGTCCCGGTTGTTGCGGTTCATGGGCATGTGTAGCCGTGGGTTTGGGTTGGCACTATGGCGATTGCGACTGCGCAATGAGCTGAACACCATGTTGCAGCCCTCAATCGTACACTTGTGCTTAATCTTCAGGTGCACTGCATTGTAGTGGATTTTTAGTGTGCCTTTGTCATAAAATGTCTTTTCACAGGCGTTGCAAAATACACGACCCTTCTTCAGAGAGCCGCCTCCAGAACCACTCCCGTTCCTGTCCAGGGAGCGCCGTTTCCCCTCAGGAGACATTTGTGTTATATCAGACATCATGGAGGGTGTTCTAGGTGTGGAAGGTCCATCTGAGTAGTTGTCGCTGGTGGAGAAGTCCTCTGCCTCAATCTTTGTCGTGGTGGAGAAGCTGTCTATTGGCTTGTCTCCACTTCGGTCTAGATCAGCAGTGAACGAACCAGAGCTGGAGCCTAGAAGGCTGTTCTCTGGAGGGTGTGAAAGAGAGAGGGGGCTATCCTTCCCTAGACCATCTTGTCCTTGATCATCTCGTCTCTGACCCTGCTGCTCCACTGACCCATGGCATGACTGCTGGTGCTGCTGGTGTTGCTGGTGCTGCAGTGTTGCTGTTGCTGAACCCAGAAATGGTGCAGGAACAGAACCTAACAGCTGGAATGGCAGCATGAAGGCCATGCTATTGATAAAGTTCTCAAAGTGATGCATGCTGTTGCCACTCAGCTTTTCTACTTTGGATGTAGAGACATTGGTAGCTGTGCGTGGGGTGTTGTGCTCAATGAAAGTGCGGATATCAGAGTTGGTGTGGGTGCTGGGAACCAACACCGCCTGACCCTCTTTGTCCTGCAGAGCCATCAGCTCCACTATGGACTTGGTTTCACCAAAACGCAGAAACTGCTGGAGCGTGGCAATCTCTTCCTCGAATGTCATGATGGCCCACCGATCCAGCACCTTGCCTGCTACATCCTACAGACAGTGCAAGAAGAAAAGGAACAGCAATGTAGTAAAGGAAATGGGAGAGTACAGAGGTTTAAAATAGATTGAGAAAGAGAAGGGAAGTGAAAAAGAGAGCAATTTCATCATTAGCATTATACAGTATGTGTCTGTTGGGTTGCTCATACATATTCACAGAGTGCATTAGATGACACACCCTATCAAGCAGAGTGGCAGAGCAGCTAAATAAAGGAATTAGATGGCATGTCGATACAAGCGGGCAGCCTAGAACCATGAGAACTCTCATCACGCAGACACTCAGTGTTTCATCTTGCAGGTCATTTCTCTTCATTTAAATCATGTGAATTTATCCACTCTGCTTCAGCAGAAGCTGACAAAGAACACACACAAACATGGTGGTGAAGACACACACAAGCATAATATGCAACATGTGCACTCATATACACACTCCCAAAGACATGTAAAGATAAATATGTGCACAAATGTACCACACACACACACACACACACACGCACACAAGTCAGGGAACAGTGATCAGAAGGCGCCTCACACTGATCAAGCGGGTCCTCTCTCCCTTAGCCCAGCAGTAATCACATGTGAGTTTGGGCGTCTTTGAAAATGAGGAGCAGCTTCATGCCATAACCGTGATTAATATTTCATCACAGAGCATTCACTGGGCGCCTGTCGAGAATTCTGACTCTACGTTTGCCATTAGATGAGCTAACATGAATTAAACGCTGTCCAGCTTGAATACTTGATGATGTACTAATCGAAGAAAGAGTTTGCACTGACACGGTGCCGGCGGCCCAGGCCTCAGCTGCTTTGGCTTCAGCTTGAGAAGAAATCTGGAGCAAAAGACATAATATTTACAAATCTACACAGCACAGTCTGGAGATCTCCTCATGCTGTTGGTAGCGCAGCAACACGCAGACCACAGCAGAGGGGTCATGGCACTGGTCACTACATCTTATCCAAAATTCTCCTGTCATGGTTTCCTGACTCCTCTTCTCCTTCTCCTCATCTTCCTCAGAAATTCTCTTACATCATATATTCTTGCTCAGAGCTTCTGGGTCTCATTTTGGCCTCTGGGGTGTGGGGGGTTTTAAGTATTTTTTTGGGCATTTGTTGCCTTTATTTTACCCTAATTATTGACAGAGAGGTGGACAGGAAATAAGGACACAGAGCAAGAGAGGAGGAGACCTGTAACAAGTGTCCATGACTGGACTAAAATTGCAAACACAGTGTGTGCAATGTGCACACACAACCACACATAAACATTCAGCTATATGTGTGCCAGCCTCTAGACTGTTTTTAGAGGCAGTTCTGCTGTGAAAAGAGAAAATTAAATTTTAGATTGGAACAGTTTTGATATCTAAAGGAATAGACTGTAGGAAATAGTTAGCTTCCTTCACAAGATCCAGATGAAAAGATTGATATCAATGTCTGTGTGTTAAGAAAACTGCTGTAGTCAGAACGTGTTAGCTCAGCAGAAAGACTGGAGGCAGAGACAAACCTGGCTGCTCTATGTCCAAAGTTCAAACACAGGCCTACCACGACTTCTAAAGCTGTTCTGAATGATGTGTACATACAATGTTTTACAAAAAGGCTGCACAAACAAAGAACAGAAATGTGAAAATGTCATGCATTGTTAAAATGGAATATGCAAATATGGCATAATCATATGGAATAAAAAATATATATTTTAGTTGTCACAATTACATCATTTTGTTACAGCACATCTGTTTTGTAAAATCAAATTGGGAGAACAGGTGATCCATGAACAAAAATGAATCAATGAGATGAAAATAATGATGATAAGGAAAATACATGACAAACTGGATTTATCTATAAGTGAGATAAGTGCCACTTAGTGCAGTGGTTCCCATCCTTTTTTCCTTCACATATTTGCAACCTTTCCCTGCATGTTTATATTACAACGATACTGTTCGGGTCAATTTGACCATGAACAGAAGAGGTGTCTCATGTTAATTTATAAACATCACTTCATAAAAAGAAAAGATTTCAAAATATAAAATAAAATTTAGGAAAAATCACTGTCATGTAAAAATAATGTATGTTTATATGTAGGTCTTTATATGTACAGTAAAACATTTTTAACATGCATTTTTTATGAAAAATGAGTGCATTATCCTCATTAAACTATAATCTGTGAGTGGTAAAGAACACCATTGCACTAAATATTGATTTAAATGGTTAGTAATGGTCAAATTGACCCAGGAACATCACTGCTGTTCCTGAGAAACTAACATAACAGGCAGGTTAAGGAATCCATGGGGTGTACCACTTGTTAGGTTACTGCCATAGAAATGCAGGCATGAATTTTTATTTTAGGAGGAAAGAAATATCTCACCCTAGTTTTTGGGGACCTTGGGGGTCCCTAATAATATATCAGTCATAAAATGTGCCCCCCCCCCCAAAAAGGGTATAAGGGTTGCTATAAGGGGTACTAAAACCGGGTCTAACTGACAAGCAGCCTGCCTGTGAAGCCCCTGTGGTGGTGAATGATCAGCTAATCAATGCTGGATTTCCCCGGAGCACATTACCTGTTTGTTTTGACTGCTTGGGGCCAGTGTGTCTGCTGCATGTGATGTGTTGTTGGTTAACCAGAGGGATTAACGGCCCATGATGTTATTGTCGGTGCTACGCTACCTATTGGAATTAATCGCACTACTATGGGACTATATGTGGTCGTGTGGGGCAAGACACAGCAATCACCAGTTGGATTTACTGACCTTGGAGCTACTTGAAAGGGAGTGATGTTTCCACTATTCAGTGGGACTTAACAATAAGTTAAAAAAACATGTTGAGTGTCTGTTAATTCCTTGTCTCTAAGGTTAGAAAGAATTGTTGTAAGTTACTATGTCTGCATTATGCCAGTTAAAATATAGGGTTTCTCAATTACCCGCTTTGTTTAGAGTGTTACACATCTCTTTTCATCTGTACATATACCTGTTTACCTATCTATGGAGGAGAAATTCAAATTAATTAATGCCATTGTGGTTTGTTGTGCTGTCCACTTTTAACACAACACTGGCAACAGGAGTTGTGCATGCTCACAAACTGTCCTCTCATTTTCAGAAGGAGGCTCTTTGGTCTTATCATTCTGAAATAATTACAGACTATTTGGAGTTATGATGGGTGCAAAGCTAATCTAGGTTCTAGGCAAAATAATGTGCAAGTAGACCTCCCTGGATATTTCCCACCATGCTGTTCCACATGCACAGCCAAAAAACAAACAAACATATTTTTAAAAAGTTTTATATGCAGAGTGTTGATTAACCAGTAAATGTGTTATTATGATATTATTTAACATGTGCACATCTAATTTTGATAATGTCGTACCCTTTGAGCAGACAATCCCTAGGGGGGACGTGCACCCCAGCTTGGGAACCATTGGTTTAGACTACTACCCACTACCTACTACTACTGATAATGAGAATTTTGTCTGGCAAGAATACACTGAAATACCACAAACTGAGGAATGACGGGTTGTTTAGGTTGACTGTCGGGGCAACTGTGGTGGGGAGATTCAGACTCACATAGACAGGCAGGAAGAGATGTTGACTGTACCTACTATAGCTTAACCAGGCCACACCATCTCACACAATCCAGTCCAGTTCAGGAGAAAACAGGAGTGTGACGTGGGGTTTAAGGCAACAGATGAACAAATAGCCAGGACACAAGTCCAAGCCTGTTAAAGTTAAGGGTGAAACATTTTATTAAAGGACGATTATATCTCCACTGTTGCAATATACTCACAAACACAGGAATAGTCCATTCAAATTACACCAGTAAAATTGTATTATGTCTTAGATATGTCTATCAACTGCACATCTGCTTCACGATTGGGACAGCAGCAACTCTGTGGGTTCAAAGAAGTGAAACTGAATATGAGAGCATCTCATAAAGTCTTACAACAACAAACACCAGGGGACGTATATCTGGATTTTTATGGATGTCAGTTAGATGACCCTTGTTACCTAACATAATTAAACTGGTCTATAAAAGGTTTGATATGATGGTTGTGGTATACAGACATCTAGTGGCCACAGTTTATCTCAGCAGTTCAGCTTGTAAGTCAGTGTAACATATGAACTAAGATTATATGCACTGTCTGATCAATCAATTGGAAATACAACAGAATTTGGTGTTTTTCAGCTATACTACCTTCATGATGTACTGCTGCCTACAACCTTTTTGTTGTTCCTTCTGCTCTTCTACCCTGTAAATCAGCCCCGTCTGCCACCTAGCCAAGGTTAGGGAAGCATTTTTCACATTGTGAATAGTCATTTCAAACACTCAACTACAAAGGACCTCTAATTTGCTCAAAGTCCAAAACAGTGGCTGCCAAACTGAAGAGGTGGTGTTCTATTACACAGAGAAAGTGCAACAAAGAAAGAGCGAAAACCAGGGTTAACAGCAGTTTGGCTTTTTGAGATGGCGAGCATTAAAAGCAGCCAATTAACCCAAATTTGAATTTGATGTGGCTGTCTTACTTCTGGATGTGTTAGCATCTAAAACTAGCATTTTTCATCCATCCATTATCTATACCACTTATCCTGAAAAGGGTCATGGGGGGCTGGAGGCAATCCAAGTGGACAATGGGCGTGAGGCGGGGTGCACCCTGGACAGGTCGCCAGTCTATCACAGGGCTGACATGTAGACAAACAACCACACGCACTCATGCTCACTCCTACGGGCAATTTAGTGTCACCAGTCAACCTAAGCTGCATGTCTTTGGACAGTGGGGGAAGGAAGCCGGAGCACCCGGAGAGAACGGGCAAAGGGAGAACATGCAAACTCAACACAGAAAGGCCCTGGGTCGGCTGTGACTAAAACCTGAAACCTTCTGCTAGCATTTTTGTTTTGGCAACATTAGCAACCTAGCATGGTCATGATTTTTACCTTTGTGTTATAATAATATGATTTTAATTTGTGAGTAATTCAAGCTTTGTGTAACACCAATGCTATGTGGCTGAAAAAAAAAATAGGTAGAGTATCTTTAATAAATAAAGCTATGGTGAGAGGGGTGTGTGCACAAGGCTAAGGATAATCACCTTTATTGGCCAACTAAGTTCAGTGTCTTGCCCAAGGACACTTCGACATGTGGACTGCCGGCACCGAGACTTGAACCTTCAGCCTGGGAGACGACTGCTCTACCCACCACACTACTGTTGCCCCTCCTAAATACTAAATACTAAATACTAAATATTGTATGTTACTTTAAACATACAACATCTGAAACATGGGATGACCCATACAACTGGTAAGATCTTGGTTTTGGTCTGTGTACAATGGTCGTTGCACCCATGTATTGTTTGCCAAAACAATCCCATTACATAGCTTAAGAGGCGACTATGGTTGTTAAGCTAAACTAATTACATCAATAACTAGCTCTGTGCTTAAACCTGAGATTGATATTGGTTTTTACATCTTACTCTTTGAAATAAGGTTAACAAGCAATATTTACCAGTTCATATGTTGAACTGTTCCTTCATATCAGCGGCTATCACCCCCTTTGTTACTGACTTTGTGAAGTGATGTGAGGAAAATCGACTGGTCCTGAACACCAGTAAGACTAAAGAGATGGTGATTGATCCCCAGCGGAAATCACCAGCACTCACTCCGGTGAGCTTTCAGGGCTCAGTCATTGAGATTGTGGACACCTTTAAATACCTGGGTGTCCACCTCAACAACAAAATGGATTGGACTGAAAACACTGATACCCTGTACAAGAAGGGACAGAGCTGCCTCCACTTGTTGAGGAGACTGAGGTCCTTTGGTGTGCGGGGGCACTCCTTTGGACTTTTTATGATACTGAAAGAAAGAGACTAAACAAGCTGGTCAAGAGAGCTGGGTCTGTCCTGGGCTGCCCCCTGGATTCCATCGAGGAGGTGGCAGACAGAAGGATGCTGGTAAAACTAACATCCATCATGCATGACCCCTCCCATCCCCTGCACCACACAGTCGAGGCTCTGAACAGTTCCTTTAGTGCAAGACTGTTACCAACTGAGTGCAATACTCAAATCCTGGGGTAAAATACATGGTTAATATGCACATATGTAAATTCTGTTCTTGATTATTCAAATACTTCATTCTGTCTATTTTTGAGTACTTGGAATTTATTTATCAGGATGTGTGTGCGGTGCTTGTTCTCATGGTGTTATGCTGTCTGTTCTCTATTGCTGCTTGAGGTACTGAAATTTGTTTATCAAGATATGTGTGTGGTGTTTGTTTCTCATGGTGTTATGTTGTTTGTTCTCCATTGCTGCTGAAACACTGAAATTTCCCCATTTTGGGATCAATAAAGTACCTACCTACCTACCTAGTTTTGTACACATTCCGGTCAACATGTAATTTTGACAGCAAACATACAGAAAATAAAAGGCCTTCCCCCACTGCTCACCTGGAGCACATATCCTCGTATGTAGTCCTGCAGTGTCCAGTCAAGGGCATTGAGGATCTGAATGACCTCCTCCTGTTTGAGGACTGAGAAAAGGCGGTCCAGAAGAATCTTGAGGCGAATTGGGATGGCTTGGGTGCCGTACAGCATCAGGCTGCAGATATCAAACACCACATTGGAGTGCACAATCTCCACCTGGCTGCTCTGGTACATGTGGTGCACCTTCAGCTTACTCAGGGCTAGAATACACACATCAGATTTTACTAGATTAGATCAGATAAACCTATACCAGTCCCTGCAAGGACATAAAGAGAAGACAGGGTGAAGAGAAACGACATAGGTTCATGAGTAAGAATTTAGCAATATCAGCAACATTTATTTAAAAAAAAAAACTAACTTATTAAAGACTAACTGTAAAAATATGGGTTGTGTGTATAAAAGAATTCTAATTCTCACTGTCTTTGGAAAACTCTTTTTGTTAGTTGCTTAAAAATTGGCAAGCTAGAGATGTATACATCCTGTGTACAAACATATAATTAAAAATGTAAAAATGTATGAGCAATAAATAATAAACATAAAATATTATTTAAAAATAAATTCATTATGACTGTGTGTACCCTTTCATTAATATCGTGTTGCGCCTCTGCTACGCTGACTCAGTGGTGCTGTGCAGTAGTTACAGAATCACATCTGCACAGGCACAATGGGTAATTTCCATTCAGTATTACAGTTGTCTGGTGAAAATGATGCATGATTCAACATGTGATATTTGAGTTTATTTGTAGATCTGTACTCCTAAAACTGCGTTCATAATCAACAATTTAAGGTAACAATGATTCATGCAGCACCTACATTAACTGAGTGGGAAAATGAAATGCTGCAGACACCAGTATAATTATTGTAAACAAATGTGACTGTGGCAGAATGTAGCAAGCTCTACTCTTTTACTTGCAGTCTCTCAGAGAATAAACAGGAGTTTCCATGACAATAAAAGCCCTCTTTATGACACAGAGCAGCTACTTTTTGCCTTAACTCTGCTTCAGCACACAGTGATTCTAAATGATGGCCTTCTTGGTTTACAGTTGCTAAGTGTGAGAGTACAGAGTGATACAGCAGGTATCAGTAACACGGTAAAAAAAAATTGTTTCTCCCAAATTACAGAAAAAATAAAATAACTATCTTAAAATATTTATCTTCTGTTATTTATCAAATTATTTAAGAAGTGGTGTAAAGTAAATAACTACATTGCTAAAGTACTGTACATTTTAGAGGCCAATATTGCACTTTTTACTGCGCTAGGCCATTTGATAACTTTAGTTACTTTTCAGAATCAGATGAATAAAACAAAATACATTATAATGATAAAAGTGTATCCATCCTGGGTGGGAAATTCACAAGCTACTCAGCAGTATATAAAGTACTTCAAATTCTAAGTATATAAGGTAGCTAACAATAGCTACACCTTTACCGGCTGCGACATTAAAGTGATGTACACAATAATGCATCAATAACTGTAATCTAGTAAAATGATATACATTAATGTGCCATTCTGCGTAATGGCTACCTTTCTACTTTAAGTATTTTGATACCAATAGTTTTATACTTTAAGTAATATTCTGAACACAGAAATTTTACTTTTAACAGAATATTTTTACACTGTGGTATTATCACTTTTACTTAGATAAAGAATTTGAATACTTCTTCCTTCGCTGCATTTAGGTGAATAGACTTCAGCGTACGGTGCACAATTCATCAGTACACAGTACATGTGGACTCATACAGCCGATGACTTCAAAATCAAAACCATATTAACACCAGTAACTTGTGACTTAATTGGACTTTAGCCCTTTAAATGAACCAAAGATCAACATTTGTTATTCCAGACAGTGGATAGCCTGTACTGTACATCAGCCCAACAGCAGCCAATCATGTTACACAACCCGGGGGTACAGACTAGCAGACAGACAACAGATGAGCCCTCATATCACACGCTAATGTAAAGACTCTACTGCGGGCACCAAAAATCAAACAGCACCATGCACAACATTCAGCTCAGACATGGCAAATGACTGTAATTGTGTTAGAGGAATATCATGCTAAGCCACAGCCAGTCATTTGTCTGTTTATTGAAAACAATAAAACACAAAATTTAAACAGCATTCAGTGTTTCTGTAAATGTCCATTACTGACTGTTACTTTCTGAAAAAGAATAACATGAAATTAAATTTGGCAAATGGTGCATAATAGCTTGTTTAAGGGTCAACACACAAACTGGGAACATGAAGCATGAGACTTAATTGTGACTCGCTAATTAATAATTTTGTCTCGTCTCTGAAACATATTTTACATAACGTGTCCCAGTCCCTCCATATAATTCACAGAACACACTGTCCGTGCTCTCTGCTGAGTTAATGGGCTCTGGGAAACATGTTGAGTGTGTTATTCTGATTCACTGGCACAGTATTTTAGGTGTAGTTCACTGTTGAACTGAGTCATTTTTCTATACTTTGGGCACAACTAAAATTCTGTTCACTTACACTGTACTGAGGTGAGGACATATCAGAGAGGGACCTAAAACCAGCTGTCCAGAAATGTGGCGGTGAGTTCTTACCGTGTGCTACCCAGCCATGCTTGCAGTTTTCACACTGCCTCCTCTTCAGCTTCCCGGGCTTGAAGCTGTCACAGTTACAGTTCACCAAAGTGCAGCAGATAGCCTGTTAACAAAAAAAAACATGTAGGATGTTAAAAAAATAATTGAATCTTTTAAATTACATTTATGATTTGGTTTCTGTAAATATAAAAACCTACATTATCAGAATAAAATAAATATTCAGTATTTCACTTCTGTGAAGCTATCTACTGGTCGAATTATTTAGATGGAATTATTATGGGGACATAATTTCATAAATTTTAAATGTCTTGTATTATTTCGTTCACATTTTACCCAAACTCAGTCAGTGTTAGAAACTTTGAAACCTTGAGTGGAATTTGAGCCACTGCCAGACCTGGCATGTCTCGAATTTTGAAGTATTTTCTGAGCTGAGCACATGTTAAAGTGCCTGACGTCAAAGAGCTTACATTACTGATACTTGTCCTTTTTCATAATTTGTATAAATTGAAAGGTTTAATACTTTTAATTGGTCATTTTTCTATGCATCCAGGAATGTAATATAATAGAAAATATGCTCTCTCATCTCATTCTTCTGTGACTGTGCAGTCAAGGAAAAATGTTCGAGCACATGCGGTTGGAGTTCTGCTTATTTTACACAGCTACATGAAAAATATACAACCATCAAGTTGCGCACAGAAACACAAAGGAAGAGCATGATTGCCTTAAATTATTTTGCTCTCAGGCTGTGCATTACTTATTACTGGGTTTGCCCTGTGGGCGTAGCACCAGCACAGGTGTGTGTGTGAGTGGTAGTAGTGCTGCAGGGCAGGTCCTCTACAGTAACCACATGGCTTACATAACACTGTTGGGTTCAGCAACCTGTCAAACCGATGGTTTCTGTCATTCAGACATAGGTCATCTTTATGTTCATCATAGCTATATTCAGACACACCTGCAAAAGTGACAGCGAGAGCCACAGTACAAGCGCAGTATTTTCCATATGCGTGATATCATTGTAATCTTGTGCATGCCTATCCATTAATGTGACTGCATGCAGTTCAGACTTTGTCATGTTGAAAGTAATACATACGTGTTACTAGGCCCGACCTATTGCTGGCCCATTCAGATGCCATCAGATTAATGGAAAGAAGGCGTCACAGGGCTTCAGACATACTTGGACCCATCTCTATTAGGCAGTGCCTACCACACCCACAGGTCATAGTAGTCATTTGCTAATGTTTTTTTTTTCTTTTCAAGACAAACATGCAGAAAAGCTGTGTGAGTGGACGACAGGCTTGAAGTGAGGAGTGAATGGTGGTAATGAGTCAAGCTTTCTGGGTAGCTGCTGACTTGGCAGTGACCCTGCAGAGAGGACTCCAGTGCACTGATACACAAAAAATGAGTCTGCCTCTCCTTTCTCTTGAACAAAAAAATCATTTACACACCAGGAACTGAGAGAAAAGCATCATCAGATTTATGATCAAAGCCAGTGTTGTTAGTACTACATACTGAAAATCTCAGAGTGGCTGTGGTACGCCACATCTCTCCCTCTGCATCTATAATGCATGATCAGTGGGGTTTTAGTATACATGAGCAGCATGCTTAGCTCCTCACTGGAGCTCACTCCCTCTCCACGGGTGGAGGAGGAAGAAAAGAGTGGGTGGGTGGGTGGATGGGTAAGGGGCCTCCTCCTTCTCATTTAGTCAGTCGCTTAGTTCTGTGCTCGAGGCTGGGCTTGTCCTTGAGATCTGGGATTACAGTAGTTCACCTTACAATAACCTCTCATCATTAGGATGGATAAACTGACCCGAGATGAAGGTGGTGGCAGCTTGCTGGCCTTGAAACACAGTGTGATAACTCCGGCCTTCAGTCCCATGACATCCATTTGCTTTGCTTTTCTCTCTATCGCCCTCTCTGCTGGCTCATATCTCCAGTTGGCTGGCTCAGCCTCCTCCAGATACCGGTAAGGTGTAAAGACCCCCAAGATCCCATCATTACAGAGCACCAAGAACCAACATGGCCCAATTAGGCTAATCCTATCCCACTGTGGGTGCACACACACCTCCTGCTGCTGTTCCCCCTAATATCCATCTCAATCAGGTACCCCTACTCCCTCACGAGCCAGTGGCGTGCGCACACATGTGCACACCCACACTTGGTCATTTATCTTAATTAGCAGTTCATTTCATGAGTTCCTGAGAAGAAGAAAAAGAAATATGGCGGTGCAGGGCAGGCCAGCACTACAGTGGCGCTCGGTGACAAAGTCCCCCTGCCCTCCTCACCTTGTCTTTCTCTGTAAGTTGTCACTACAAAGCCATGGCTGCTTGCACACATCAGTGAAGTTGAAGACAGGAAGACTAATTGTACAAAATAATGTGGTTGGGTCAGTGGTCCTGAAGTCTAGCGCAGTGTCACCTTCTTTATATCAGTGAGGCGTAACGGTGTAGCCACACTTCAGCTCCTCCATCCCCGAAATCTCTACACACCTTGAATATGTTACACATGCCGTTAATCAACACTTTTAGTACATGTTGTTGAATAAAAAACAAATAAGTCAGGGCTTTGCAAACTGAAAAATTGTGCTTTCATTAGTAGTTACATATAGATAGTATATATCAAATTAAATACAGAATGGCTTAAACTGCTGGATTATTATTTAGCATCTTCTAGTCCACACAACACCTCATTTTGTAATTTGCCTGTGTGATTACTACAATGCATACACATAAGTAAAAGGCAACTAGATGTGCATCAACATTTTTTATTAACTGAGCTTCTTCCATCTGTGTTCATTTTTGACCAAAAGCAACAACATGCCAACTGAGCAAACTCCAAGCAAAAAATTGGATTAAAGGGGGAGTGGGGGAATTAAATACTGCTGAAAAGAGTGAAACCTGAACATGAAGACGTGCCCATTAGTTTCACAGAAGTGACTGTGTCCCTTGCTGATACAGCCTACACTTTAATGTGAATTCACCATTCGGTCTCTCTGTGCGTGTCTGGAGTCTGGTTGTTGCTGCTAAAGCCTACTTGGTTGAGAGAATGTGCACTCAGAGGTCGGGCTGTGTAGGATGGATGGAGGCCATGAAGGGAGGTTAAAGAGAAAGAAAGTGAGGTCAAGAAAACAGAAAAGTGTGAGGTGAAGAGAAGGCGGGGATGACGTAGAAATGTGTATGACATGATGACCTGATCCTGGGTGATACAATACTGTACACTGAGGTGAGTGAAAACACACACAGTAATGACATTTGGACTGGACTTCAGTTAGAGTTCAACTTGTATTTATTTCTGTAACAAACGATTCCCTATATTGACACATTTAGAATTGTTAAAACCTCTAACCCAGCTGTTTACACATTACGTTCAGACATTCTGAGGTCACTACGGAGATTTAGATTTGAGCTATTTCAGCATTATTAGCAAGATTAGAACGAGAAAGTATATTTGAACCCAGGAAAGCCCAAACTCTGTACTTTTACAGAAATAAGAATGAAAAAACAAAAGCTATGTGCTGTCTGCTCTGAAACATTATCTCCATCCTACTGCTGGACTGTCTACAGCCAAAACATTCCTCTCTCTCTCTCTCTCTCTCTCTCTCTCTCCCTCTCTCTCACACACACACACACATATACACACACACACAAGAAACAAACTGAAATAGTCCTCTCTGGCTCTTAAAATAAAATCCTGCCATATGTCCTGAACGGCCACGGTGCTTTAGGGACCGGGCAGAAGCAAACAGCTGCTTTGACAAAGACAGTTCAGGGATGGACGAGGACTTGTTGGCCTAATGCAGTGGAAAACTAATCAATTAGCAGCAGCCCAGCACTAACTGGCACTCAATGGGGAAACAAGTGGTGCTGCTGCCAAAGAGTGAATAACAACAGGGCTATCATCAGCTCTGAGGAAGAGAGAATCTGATGGCCAAGTGAGAGGGGATCAAATTTTACTATGAGCCATTAATCAGTTAACAAGACAATTACGAGACAGGGGAAATAAAGGAAGTGAGAGTTTCCCTGACAGGAAATATAAATAATTGCTGAACTGCATGATATTATTCATTTACTGTTCACTTTTTGTAGAAATTAAAGCTACTGTATTTTGGCAGCTTTCCTCAAAAGCACCCACAGGCTGGAGCTCTGCTAGAGAGGAGGCTGACACCTCATGTGGAACAATAGCAAAGAAACTGAAATTTTAATGATGATGATGATGATGATTATTATTATTTTAAAACTTTGGCAAGCCACTATTATTTCTGGTCACAGTGTTAGTTTGTAAAATGAAGAGTCTACAAATTGTTTTGGGAATGTCACTCTTGAAAATGTACATTAAATTAGTAGGGACCAGTTAGTAAGCAACTAGATTTACTAATGAGTAATAAGTAATGCTTTGTAGATCAGCTATAAGATGTTAATAAGAATATTTTGGAATTTCAAGGTTGACTAGAATTGTCCTCACAACCTGCCAACCCAGTTGAATGGTGGCGGACTGATTAGTAAAGCACTGTCAGATTTATTAAAAAGTTAGTATAGTGATTGATTGATAAGTCAATCAGTTAATCATCAAAAATAATTGAATTAAAAAAACTGACTGGCTCTGAATGTGTGAAGTTGCTGTGTTTTCATGCCACTACAAAGTAAATAGCTTTAGATTTTAGGCTGTTGGTTAAACAGGAGAGCGATTTCAAAAAGACACTTTGGGCTCTGGAAGGCTTCTTTTTTACTGGATTTTTAATAACAAAACAACTAATTGATTAACTGAAAACCAATCGACAGAATAGCCCTATTTTTTTTTAATTAGCTGGAAATATGTATAATAAGTTAGAATGTAAATTACATATAATGGAAGTTTAAACCTTGCAAACTGATTTTGGATTACATAATTCTAAAACAACTACTGAACAGTCGATCATATTTCTAATACAGTCTAGTTTTGAAATTAAAGGGCAACATGTATTTAAATGGATAAAAACTGCAGCATGGCAACAAAGAAGAACTGGACACTGACACACATGCAGTGGAGACTTGATCACAGCCAGAACACACAGAAAACACTCAGGAATTTAGTGGGAGTTTGGTGTTCCTGGTACCACTCAGACGTGCACCACGAAAACCACCCCAGCAGCAAAACTACACCTGGCCCATCACGGATCACAGGCTGTGTCTGCATGTGTGCGCTACACATGAAGAACATGGTCTCAAGAATAAATCAGGTCTTGTACAACGTTGTGTATGTGACAGCAAGGTAGTAAAATGTTCATTGATGACAAGTAAGTAAAAGTGGGGTTAGGATACATGAGCTGCTCAGCAGGCGGCAGGATCCTGCCTCAGTTTATGATTTAATGTCACTCACTAAGAAAGAGCACTTTAACACACAGCACCAGATGAAAATCGCTCACTTGTGATATTCTCTAACATCATTACATCAAGTTTAACATGAAATATTTAACTTTTTATACATCCATTTCATTTAACAGCTTCCTCTAAAGTAAACTGCATGTCAGTAGCAGCTATGAAAATGCACTTAAAATGAAAAAGTAAAATCATGAGCACTCCTTTAACACCACACTGGACCTGGAAAGTAGAAGGCAAACCCAGGAAAAGCCTCAGCAAGTGCAAGTAGTGACAGGCTGTGTTTGAGCCCATTAAGAGTCTATACAGCCCAAAGACAGCATGAAAAAGTCATTATTTCAAACTCATCCAGCAGTCAATCACAAGCACACACACACACACACGCGTGCAGTCAAGCAGGCAAAAAGGTGGTAAATCTTTACCTGAATATCCATGAGAAACAGCTGCCTTCTTTAAAGAAAATAAAAAATCTTAAAAGACAAAGAGATGAGTTTGGGAGGGGTAGAAGGAGGCAAGCCAAAGTTTGGCTGTGGCTCCCCGTTAGGAACTTGGAGGGACTGTTAGGCTCAGAGAGGGAGTAAATGAGGGGAACATGTTAGTACACTGAGTCTGAGAGAGTCTGGCTCCCAGCTACGCTCTGATTAATATTAGATCTCCCTCTCTCCTCGCCTGCCTCTTGACAATCTTGTCACATCTGGCTGACAAATCCTCACAAGTCTTTTGGTGGCAGCGCAAAGCAGATGCATAAGGTGACTGCTGTGTGTGTGTGTGGAGTCTGGGGATGTTAAAGGGGTAGGCTGGGGCCAGGAGGGGCGGATCACCGCTCAAGGAGACGCTGAAGGGACCATCATGAACTTAATGAAGTTGATGGGGTTGGCAGGCTCCAGTCTGCACCGCCGACACAAGCAAGCACACACAAAGTGAAGTACAGTTCTGTAAAGATGAGCAGGGGGCCTAGCTCTGACTCCTTTTCTGTGTGTGTGTGTGCCTGTTGTGCCCTGTAGCACTAAAAAAGAACAGAGAGACACCCACAGAAAAGGTAGAAAAGAGGAAACAAAAGATGGGAAGAGTGAGATAGCAACAGGAATAAAGAGACAGGACAGGAGTGTTAAAGGAAAGCCAGAGTGGGCCGTTCTGCCTACATTTCTTTCTCTCTCTCTCACACACACACGCAGCAAATAAAGCTAAATCACTTTCATGGATTGCTGGTGGGATGGCCTCTCACTCATCTGAAAATGGAAAAGCCAACCTAGTAGAGGACCATAAAATGTGTGAAGAGGAAACACACAGCTCACATGGCAAAATTATGGCAGAGCGTGATCATAACTTAATGAAGGCATTTTTAAGATTCTATTTGTTTTATGATGAAGGTTTTTTCCCCTTTAACATTAAATTAAATTTTGTTAAATTGAACAATAGTGGCTATTAATCTATTTTACAAGCTTTTTACTGACAATAAAATATGATATAATCATATCAATCAATAAGATGAATCGTTGTCCCCCCTTAATATACATCCTCATTATTGAGAGGCTAAAAATAGTGATAATGTCAAAACTGATAAATGACATTAAAAAGTCAGGTGTCTACAATATATATCATTTTTTAAAATGGTAAAACGTTTAGATCATTAAAAAATACAAAAAAGTGAAACATGAAAACTGTGTTTTTATATCCCCTGAAAAAAAATAAATGAAAGGAAAGTCCTGACGTTAACCACCAATGATCAGACAGTATCTGCTCCATCTGCTCTTCATTGCATCTATTTTTATGTTGTTGTGGAAGTTAAACTCCAGCCTGTTTGGATTCCCCACTCTGCTCTGACACACAGTAATCTAACAGAGAATAAACCACAACTGTTTAGCCCTGTTTACACACATACAGGCATGTAGAGAGTGTTTGCTGCTACTGACACCACTACCACACAGACAGCTCAGCTAATTGTTACATTATGGCTGCAACAAAACATTAGGCTGCACATGAATTGTTTTCCATGCGGCTGTGGCCGGCGGCCAGGCTGCCCAGGCTACTGCCTAGGCGGGCAGATGAGCGGAGGGGAACAGGCCCAGGTAAGAGCTGGGGGCTGGTTCTGGCTCCTTGAATGATTTGAATGAGATTCTATGTCTTTAGGACAAGTGAGAAAGACAATACAGTGAAGTCAGATGAAGAAATACAGATTTAATAGAACAGACTAGAGTGAATCCAAACAGGAAGAACAGAATATAATTTTAAAAAGATGATGAAACAGAATAGAGAACAATAGAAGGGGATCACACACTACACAGTGGGAACCCTGACTCAACTGTGGTTCAGTTATTGTTTACTGGGAGTTGTCTCTGGATTCTTGGAAGGCACGTAAGGACGATCTCTGACCACACCGAGCCGCGCTGTGACGTTCTCACTGTGACTTTCATCACATAGGGATTTCACATGTTTCAGACAGACTCAAACTAACACACATGTTAGTTCTGGGATGAGTTTTGAAAACTTTCAAACTTTCAAAACTTCAAACTTGTCAATTACCAAAACCTGGCACAGACTGTCCTGTCATATTCAGAACTGTAATCACGTACTCTTTGATGAGATAGTTCTGTAGACTGTTTTACACAGAGTTCTTGTAAAACCGCCTGTATTTAGGGAACAGCTCACATTTGAGAACTTTGGCTTCTTTTGCTAAATGAATAAAAAGGTTTCCAGAAAAATATGTATTTCTCAAAGTGAGGTGTTGAAAAGGTACTGCTTTGATCTAGTAGTGAAACTAAAAGACATCACCTTTCTACTTCTGGTACTGGTATCAAACATTTACAGTGCTACCCAGTCCTGTAGGTCACTACGTAACAACTTGAAACAAAAAATCCTAAAGTAAATCACAGACTCCCAGCAAAACTGAAGTATATGTCATCATGCTTTGTCACACTTCAAGTAACAAATACACGTGTACGATCATATGACATGAAATACGCTACATCTACATTTTTTCTGATCTCAGTTAAAAGTCTGCACTGCTGCCGCCTGCCACTCCAGTCTACATAAACTCCTTCCAGTTTGTCTTTGTTAATCCCATCCTGATCATGTGTGCAGGCGGAGTGTGTGACAGGAGCCGGAGCAGACAGAGAATAGTGGTGAAAAGCCATGTCTCCTACCTCAGCCATTGTCATTTAGTCATATGTTTCCAAGGATACCGTGGAGTTTGCCATTCCCCGCGAGTCCCACAAAACAACTGTCTCCAACTCTCCTGTCTGCACAAGTACTAACGCAAAAGAGCCATCACACCCAGCAGCGACTACTTCAACAGCAGACACACATGTACGCTGCTTCTCTCTCTTCTCTCACGCTCTCTCTCACACACACATACTGTGAACCACCAACACTCACGCCACAAAAAAAGAGAAGTCACTGTGCTTTTACTCTCACTGCACAGATGCACACACACACACACACACAAATCTCCTCTGCTTTCTCTCCTCTAATGTTGCAGTGGACTGACTCTAAACTACTCAAGATGTTCAGTGTGTGTGTGTGTGTGTTGAAACTGGGCACAGGGGATTGGAATGAGATACTCTCACTCGCCATTCTCACATCACGCTCCCTCCCTAGCCTGCACACATAACACACACACGTGTGCATGAAGAGGTGTGCATGCTTTTTTACACTCACAAACACACACACACATGCACAAGTGCTTCTACCCCCTCGGAGTCACAGGGCAGTCCCCTCACAGCTGGCTGGAAGGGGGCATGACACTCATCTTTCACAGAGATTTGATCAAAAGGAATCACAAAGGCTGGAGGCTCTCCTAATGCAGTCAGGGGAGACTCTCCCTCTTTCCCCCTCTCTCTCTCCATCTGAGTAATGCCCTGAATCAACGCTGCCCCTCTCGGTGCACACAGCCCAGTGTGTGTCAAGATTCACCTTAACGCAGCCCTGTAAACAGCCTCCATAACAAGTTATGCCTTGTGCCGTCAGGAATGTATCATTGAGTGTGTTGAGTGTTTCTCTGGAAGAGGGGGGCTTCAAACACAGCGAAGACTAAGTCTGAGTTATCTTTAGGAATACGAGTACCTCAGGCTGGGTATCAAACCGCAACACTTTGTTCATACTGGCCTAGCTGTTTGTGTTAGAAACCTGCTGAGAGCTGCTAATGAATGTCTGCTCCAACTAGCAGCCTTGTTTATTTCAGATCTGGATCAACTTTAGACTAATTTATTCAGAAAAGGTTTCTGTGCAGCATTTGAGATCTTTTCATATTAAATATATTAAGTATATGTATTAATTTTGCAGTGACTTGACCTGAGACATTCATGGTTTGTAGATTCATTAAGCCCATGGTGATACCTCCAAACCACTTTGTTAGTGCGACCAACAGTCAGACAACATCAACATTAGCACTGAATAATAACTCAGAAGATTATCAAAACAGTGCGCCTTGTTCTTCTGTCAGCGAATTATTCAACTACTCTGTGCCTGAAATGGTTTTTCCTGTGTTTATCATATTCAGATAATCACTTGAGCTCTAAACCTAAGTTTCCCATTCTCACAAGTTGAATGTTAACATGGAGGGAGTTTACAAATTCAAAATTAGTAACTGTGAAATGACACAAAGGCATTAGAGAAGAGCTTTGAAAGGACTGACACTACTGAAATTTGGATTAAATGCTTTTCTTTCTGCATATGCTGTGCATCTACTCAGTTCACAGTAAGCTGATAAAGGATAGCTGAGCTGCCTCTGTGAGATTCATCAAATAAAATGTATAGTCATGGTTTTCACCGCTACTTTTCTGCTTCTGTGTCTTTCAGCTTTACCCTTTCCTCCCCTTCTGTCTCCTGTCTGGCAGAGGGAAAGCTCTTATGATTTTAGCCATTAGAGGCAACTGCTAATCCACAAATTGCACAACAAGTTTAAACAGGTACACCCGGCCTGCTCTACCTGAGGCAGCTTAAAGGAAGAAGAGAGGGTTTGAGTCGGGGGATGTCACAATGTCACATTCAGGGTTCAGTAAAAAAAAAAAGTTCAAAACGTGATTTCATTTTCTTTTTTATTCTTAATTTACAAGAAAGTATCAACAGTCCACTGAGTTTCCCAGCAATTGACTTCACCACATTTGTGTTGTTCGGCAGCTTTGTGTATAATCTTTGTACTTTTACCTACTGAAGCAGATGGGGATTAGTGCTTTGCTCAAAGGTAACTGAAGGGAAGGAAGACTGTCACTCACCCACTGTCCCCGCCCACATCTTTCCACCTAGGAACTCAGCCCGACAACCCTCCCTCATAAGGCACTTCTTTAACCTCAGAATTCAGAATAGAATTTAAAAGCCTTCTCCTAATATACAAAGCCCTTAATGACAAGGCTCCATCGTATCTTAAAGACCTTGTAGAGCCTTATCATCCTAACAGAGCACTTCGCTCTCAGAGTGCAGGTTTACTTGTGGTTCCTAGAATCCACAGAAGCAGAATGGGAGGCAGAGCCTTTAGCTATCAAGGTCCTCTCCTATGGATCCAACTCCCAGTCTCAGTTCGGGAGGTGGACACCCTCTCTACCTTTAAGATTAGACTTAAGACATTCCTTTTTGATAAAGCTTATAGTTAGAGCTGGAATAGGTGACCCTGAGCCTTCCCTTAGTTATGCTCCCCTCCCCTCTCCTTTCCTCTCTTTTCCTCTCTCCTTATGCTTCTATATGCCACCATTACACATCACTAACTTTGTGTCTCCTCTCTCCCGTAGTGTGTCCTCTCTCTCTCCCTGTACCTTTCTACAGGTTGCCCTGGCCCTGGAGCTCTATGTCTCTGACGAGCAGTCACCAGCCACATCGACCTGATCAGTGTTTGATTGTTGTGTCTTGTTGCTTTTCTTCTTTTCTCTCTCTTCTATCCACTCACTCCAACCGGTCGAGGCAGAAGGCCGCCCACCAAGAGCCGGGGTCTGTCGGAGGTTTCTTCCGTTAAAGGGAGTTTTTCCTCCCCACTGTCACGAAGTGCTTGCTCAAGGGGGATTTGTTGGGTTTTCCCTCTGTAATAATAGTGATAACAGTAAGGTCTAGACCTTACTTTGTAAAGTGTCCTGAGATGACTTTTGTTGTGATTTGGCTCTATTCAAATAGAATTTGATTTGATTTAACCTCCAGGCTGGCAGCACTCTCTGACTTGACATTCACAAATTTGCTAAGCAGCTTCATTAGCTGATAAAAATGCAGCTAATGGCCCTTGAAGTTGCCCTGCATTAAAACCGGTTTACTTTTCGCAGATCAAAACTATTCTTATTCATATTCATTCAAGTCCAAAATGTTATATGTACACTGCATGAGACATCCTGTCAAGGGACATAACACATGGTCAGAAAGACCGCCACTCCCCTGTGGTTGTCCAGGCAAGCAGATCTGCTTACTGGCCTTGTATTTATTCCATACCTAGGGGATGCATACCAAACAGTGCCCCAGACCTGGCCTGGATTAGGTCTGCACTGCTTGTCAAATTGCTGTTCGCTGGGCTGGAGTAGCGCAGCTATATTTGCTGCCCGGGGGCTGAGTGTGGAAGCTGCAGCTAAAACCACAGCAAATAAACTTCATGTGCAGCAGAACAGGTCACGCTGCCTGCTTACACTTCTGTCATTGGCCTTCCTGCAGGGAAGAGCGAAAGGGGCCTGAGTACTTCAGCATATGAGCAGCTTTGGGAGAGTCTTCCACACTCCTTTACATGTTCTTTATTTAGTGAAGCTGAGCAAAATACTGCTCGTGTGTTTGTCTACTCTGCTATTAGTAGTTTTTTGACCCTTTTGTCTGAATGGCCTTTATTTAACATTAGTGATGTTAATAACCATAATACAAATACTTTGCAATCAAAGGAGAGGACTTTTAATTTTAATTTTCTGGTCAGTTATTCTGCCAATTAAAAAAAAAGTTTAAATAAATCAATTACTTGGTCTGTTAAATATTAGAAAAATGGCCATCACTACCAGTCTAAAACAAAATAATAAGGTTCATCGATGAATATATAAATGTCAAGGTCAGTATATGAGATGAACAGTTAGAATCAAACTATAGAAAAAAGTCACCATTGACAATTCAGCTCTATGGGGACCACGCCTTTATTGTATTTACATATTAGAACATCTTATTAATATCAAAATAATTATTTATGATTCATTAGTGGTTTAAGCCGTGCAGGCTGTTAACTAGTCACACTGATCATCATGCAGAACTTGACCTAACACAGCTGGATACATAAAAACTTTATTACAAGCGAAATTTGTTTGGTCACCACTGGCCCAACAATAGACAACAACACTAAACAAACAAGGAAGAAAATAATAATTTAAAAAATCCAAGGAGACACTATGGAGTTCCGTTCAGAAATTGGTCTAGCTGCACCCCGCAATCCATCTGATTATGACAGAAGTAAGCGATCCTTAGGATAAAGAGAAATGTCACAGCTGAAGGCACAAAGGAAGCTATAAATCAGGGGTGCCCAATACGTCGATCGCAAAAGTAGTGTTGGTAGATTGTGTGCCATTCAAAAATAAATTAGATGTATCCGGCGTAAAACACGTGCCAAATGTTAACATGCGAATGGTCAGTGTGACGATTCGCTGTGGTGACCCCTAACAGGAAAAGCAGAAAGTGACAATCATTCATATATTGCCTATCATCCATCCTCCCTATGGCATTTGCTACTTGATTGACATGCAGGGCAGCCAGTCTGAGATCTTGTCTTTTCTGACACACAAGTCACCAAGCATGCACAGTCAACCGCACGAGCTACTGCAAAACTCCAGTGAGCGAACTACCTTGTTAGCCTTCAAATTAAAGGGTATAAAATGAGTGGGGGAGCCGAATCAAGTAAGAAACCGAAAATGTACCGAAAACATTCCATGCAGAATGGGAGGAGGACTTTTTTTTCACGACGTTATATTCAAAATGTGTTTGCTTGATCTACCAATCTACCATCACTATTCCGAAGAAGGGAAATGTGGAGCGGCACTTTCAGACTGTTCATAACAACTACGACACTCATTCATACATATATTTTGTGTGTGCATGTGTGTGCGCGCGCATGTAGGTCAATCATTTTGACTTGGTCATTTGAAAAGTAGCTCACAAGGCGAAAAAGTGCGGGCGTGCTCTAAATCATTCTGGAGCACCTTGACATCCTAATCTGCTCACTCATCACACTTATGATGTCACTAAAAACACTAAACAGAGGGTGATCCTCAAACTGAATTATGCTCCATACTCTCCTGCAGTTTCCAATCAGGAGTCAGCCCAGTCATAGAGCCTGCCATTTAATACACCTGTTGATCACGTTCCTGTCATTAGCAGTAATGCTGCTAACCCAACAGACAACAGCATAAAAACAAGACACTAGCCACAAAACTGTGATACAAAGCTTTTAAGAATCGCTTACTAATCTTGCATGACTTTAATTTCCCCAGTAAGAACAACCTGGACTGTGCCTTTTAAAACAGCTTGAACACTGTCGGAGCAACCA